CCTCCAGGACCCCCCAGCCCACCCCGCAATCGCCAGACCCCCTCCCTCACGGCCCCCTCCAGCCCACGCGCCGCCGGGGCTCTTCATCCCCACGCCTGCACGTCTGGGGGGTTCCCTCCCCGCCCCAAAACCCCACCACCCCCTGAGTGCGTGGCTCCCCTTCCCCCATGCAGCCCCCTTTTCCCATGGGGGACGCCCCGACGGCGGAGCTGGACACGGTGCTGGATGGGGGCGCTTGGGAGGTGGGGGCGACTTTCGAGGGGTCCCCCGCGCCCCCCGCGCCCGTGAGCCTGGGCAGGACCGTCTGCTACGTGGTGCTGGCCGTGCTGTTCAACGAGGAGGTGAGGCAGCCCCCCCACCCCCACCATCATCCCGGGGGACCCCCGGTGCCCCCCCGGAGCCCGGCGGTGCCCAGCGAGCCCCTGGGTGCCCGCAGGGCGCGGTGCTGCTGGTGCAGGAGGCCAAGCCCGAGTGCCGCGGGAGGTGGTACCTGCCTGCAGGCAGGATGGAGCCCGGGGAGAGCGTCGTGGAGGCCCTGCGGAGGGAGGTGAAGGAGGAGTCGGGGCTGGAGTGCGAGCCCATCACGCTGCTGGCGCTGGAGGAGCGCGGCCCCGCCTGGATCCGCTTCGCCTTCCTGGCGTGCCCCGTGGGTGAGTCCTGGGGGGCTGCGAGGGCACGGGGTGGGGAGCCTGGTGTGCCCCCTGCCAGCCCCACCATGGGCATCTGTGTCCCCTGCCACCCTTGTGGTGGGAATTGGCATCCCATACCAGCCCCATGATCCCTGTCCTGGGCCACAGCATTGGTGTCCCCTTCCATCGCCACGATGGGCATCTCTTTCCCCTGCCAGCCCCATGATGGGCATCCCTGTTCCCTGCCAGCCCTGTACCAGGTCACTGGTGTCCCCTACCACCTTTGTGCCAGCCCGTGTCCCCCTGTGCCAGGGCATCACTGTCCTCTGCTCCCACCAACCACCAGTCCTGGCATCTCCCCTGACCCCAGTCTGGCCTATCAGTGTCCACTACCAGCCCCACAATGAGGGTCTCACTCCCTCCCACCCCAACCCCATCACTGCCCCCCCACCCACCCCACGCCAGGCCTCTCCCTCTGCCCTCAGGTGGGACCCTGAAGACCCTGGAGGAGGCAGACGCCGAGTCCCTGCAGGCCCGCTGGTGGCCGGGGGACCCCCGTGCGCTGCCCCTGCGCTCCCTGGACATCCTGCCCGTGCTGGACCTGGCCGCCCGCTACCGCCAGAGCCCCCCGCACCCCCCGACGCTGCCCCGCGAGCTGCCCTGCGCCCCGCTCTGCCTGCGCCTGCTGCTGCCCTTCACCAGCGCCGCCGGCGACCTGTGGGTGCTGCTGGGCACCGCCGGGACCCCCCACCTGCCCGTGGTGGCCTGCGGCACGTCCCCCCCCGAGCTGCGGGCGGGGCTGTGCCGGCCCGTGCTGCGCCTGCTGCGGGACTGCCTGCCCTGGGACCCGCCCTGGGACCCCCGCCCGGGGGTCCTGGGGCTGCTGGGGCTGCAGCACCGGCCCGGGGGGCCTGGGGGGTCTGACGGCGTCTGCTTCAACGTGGTGCTGAGTGCCCCACCCGCTGGTACCCACGGGGACGTGCCCCCCGAGCCGAGTGACCCCGCGCTGCGCTGGTGGCACGTGGAGGACGAGGGGCTGAGGGGCCGCATCCTGCAGCGGCTCCGGGCCACGGTGCCCATCCGTAGTTAGTGCCAGGGAAAGCCTGGATTTGGGGAATGGGGCAGGGGGTGGGGGGGGGATGCATCCAGGGGTCTCGCTGAAGGTGGGAGCTCTGGGGTGTGCTTGTGGATGCTCTGGGGGCAGGACACGGTTGTGGTTTCGGGGTGCTGAGGCCACAGGGAAAATAAACCTGGCTGCTGCTGCTGCTGCTTCCACCCACCTGGCTGTGGTTCAAGGTGGGATATGGAGTGGGAGTGGGGGATTTTGGGGGGTGTTCAGGAAGGGATGGCAGGGGCACAGCATGTGGTGCTGAGCTCACATCTTTATTAGAGCAGAGTCCCATCACCCAGGGGGCAGGTGCTGCGTGGGGACCCCACCAGCACCAACACACAAACACACACACACACGTCACACGTGTCACCCCACCCTGTGCCACAGCACGGGGGGGGGGACGAGCAAGTTATTGCAGCTGAGGAAGGGGGGAGAAGGGGGCACTGCCCCACACACCCCGTTATTGCCCCCCCAAAACAATCCCTGCTGGAGGTTTGGGGGGAGCAGGAACCCACCACCCAGGAGGACACGCAGCACCGGTCACCATGCCCCCGGCGGGGCCACATCCTGCACGGGGAGGGGGCGTCACCCCCAAGGTGCTGCTGAAGGACTCGGTGGCTCCTCTTCCTCCCGTGAGGTCCTTCCAGGGGTGCCACGGCCGTTCCTGGCTCTTGGCAGTCAGGACAGGGCCACTGGAGGCTACCAGAGCATGGGTTTGGCCACCCCCAGTGGCCACTGCAGCCCAGGTGAATTGGGGGGGGAGTTCAGGGTGGCCCCTCAGGTGGCCCCTTGACCAGGGCGATGGCAGCCAGCTCCTTGCAGAACTCCTCCAGCACCACCACGCCCTTGAAGAGCACTGTGTGATCCATCCTGGGGGCAGATGAGCAAAGGCAGGGGGTTCCCTGGGGTACAGAACCACCCCCAAAAAGGCATGCCCCCCCAAAATGCCCCCCCCAGCACTCACTGCTCGCCGGGCACCAGCCCCAGGAGCTGCCGGCGCACCAGGAGCAGCTTGGCCCTGGAGTGGGGCACCCGCTGGAGCCGCTGCATCAGGTCCCCAATCACCTGAGGGGGGGGAAAAAAGAGTCAGAGCCCGTCCCCAATCACCTGGGGGGGTGTCCCCAAGTCCCCCCAGCGCGGTAGGTGACGTTACCCTGACGAGGACGGAGAAGAGCGAGCGGCAGCCGGGGGCCAGGCTGAGGTAGGGGTCCAGCAGGTACTCGTGGAGGTGGGGGTGGGGGAAGGCGGCCAGGTGGGACAGCACCGAGGTCACCTGCAGGTTCAGGCTGTAGGGCTGGGGTGGAAGGGGGGATGCTCAGGAGCTGGGGCAGGGGTGGCCTCCACCTCCCAACATCCCCCAGCGGTGTGCTGAGCCCACCCCCACCACGCACTCCTGATGCTCTTGGCCACTTTGCCTACCTGGTCCAGGATCCGGCTCATCCTGTCGAACAGCACCTTGAGGAAGTGACCCTCATAAAATGCCCCTCCAGGGGGGCACGACTCGAGGGGTCGGGGGGCTGAGGGCCACCCCCACGGGGCCACACTGGCACGGCACGTCTGGACCTGGCAGGGGGGTGACAGCAGGTGGGGAGACAGAGTAAGGACCACCAGCAGCGGGATGGGGACCGCCCTGGGGAGCCCCCCAGGCACCCACCATGCCCAGGGCGTCGTGCACGTAGGTGTCGTAGCCGCCTTCCTCCATGCACGAGGAGGTCTTTGCCTCCTCAGGGACCAGGCAGAGGAAGCTGGAAGAGAGGAGAGAGGGATGAGGAGGGGGATACAGCCCCCCCCAAGAGCCAGGGCAGCCCCTCCAGACCCCTACCTGCTGACCACCTCGCTCACTTGCCCCTTCCCCGCCGGGGCTGATCCCGGGGGAGGGTTGTTTGTTGTCCCAAAGCCGGTGTCTGGGAATCCATCAGTGAAATAGGGATCCTCCTCCAGGTCCCTGCGGGGCAATGCAGAGGTGTCAGCGGGGTGGGCACTGAGGGGTTGGCACTCTCCCACACACACACCCCCTGCCCCAGCTTCCCCCCCTCCTCTCACAGCCCGTCCTCCTCGGGGTCCGCCTCGGGGGGTCCGCGCTCCTCGGGCGCGTGGGGGCTGCGCTGCAGGTACGCCCTGGCCTCCAGGTTCCTCAGCACCAGGTTGTGGGCCACGTGCTCGTGGGGCTTCCTCAGGAGCTCCTCGAAGAGCCGCAGGCTGGCCAGGCTGATCTGGGCAGGGTGGGCGGGGTGAGACCCCTCCCTGGGAGCCTCCCCCCCTCTCCTCATCCCCACCCCCTGGCTCACCTCGTCGGACAGGTGGTCGCAGCGGTCGATGAGCTGCGCTCGCAGGGGGTGGGGGGTGTCCCCGGGGGTCTCGGGGTGCCGGTGAGGCCCCAGCAGGAAGAGCACGAGGCGGTGGAGCAGGGCAGGGGCGCGGATCTGCCGCACCGTCCCCGCCAGCACAGCCGTGGCGCCGAGCACAGCGAGCTCCGACCTGCCGGGGTGGAGGAAACGGGGAAGCTGTGGGGGGAGGTCTGGGGGGAAATGATGCCCCATATTCCTGGCTCTGAGGGGGTCCTGGATAGCGGAACAGCCTGGTGCCTCAGACACTCACATCTGCAGGAGCTGTGGCTGCAGGATGCCCTGGAAAAACTTCTCCTCCACGGCCTGGGTGATGGCATCTGCCACAAGCTGGGGGGAGAGGCAGAGGCTGAGCTTGGGAACCTCTGGGACGAGAGTGCACAGCCTCAAGCTGAGCCAGGGAAGGTTTAGGCAGGACATCAGGAAGAATTTCTTCACAGAAGGGTTGGTCAGACATTGGGGGGGGCTGCCCAGGGAGGTGGTGGGGTCCCCACCCTCGGAGGTGCCCAAGGAACAACTGGACGTGGCACTCAGTGCCCTGGGCTGGGTGATGGGATGTCACAGGTTGGACTCAGTGATCTCAGAGGTCTTTTCTGAGCTCACTGACTCTGATTCTTTGACTCTTACCGGGTGGGCTCCCATCACCAGCTCATCCAGGTAGTCCAGCCAGCACAGGAAGGCAGCCAGGCTCTCCTTTCCTGGGAAAACCCCGTCACCGGCAGCGTCCCCCTGTGACCTGCGTGGGATGGAGGACACAGGGTGGGGGTGGAGCTGTGACCAAACCCCTGGTGACACCTGAGCTCCCCTTCCCAGCGCCCCCCTCACCTCCAGCTGGGCCTGTCCATGGCGAGGACGTCGGCGGGGTCGGTGCCGGGGGGCACGGCGCTGTAGAGCTCACAGAGGTGCCCCGTGAGCAGCTGGCACAGGGCGCTGCTCCTCACCAGGCAGGCGGCAGCCCCGTCCTGGGCCAGCCCCACCAGCACCAGCAGGTTCTCCCGAGCCTTCAGCGCCACCCGGCTCTTCTGTGAGGAAGAGGAGGAAGAGAGGGGGGTTGTCACACGGCTGGCAGTGCCCGCTGTCCCCTCCTGCCACCTCTGTTTGCCCGTACCTTGCTCCTGCACAGCCCCACCAGGGAGGTGACGAGGTTGCTGTCCCTCTGCGGTGGGGAGGGCTGGGCTGGGGGGGAGCTGGCAGTGGTGCCCGGGGGGTGCTCCACACCCTCTTCCCTGGAGCTGTCCAGCAGCTCCTGGGCTCTCCTCCTGTCCAGGATGCTCTTTCCCTGGAGAGGAAGAGGAGCAGAAAAGGAGCCACCACCTTCCTCCTCCTCCTCCTCCTCTTCTTCCTCACCCCAAGCTTTGCAGTGGGGATGGGGCTGCAAAAAGCTCAGTGAGGGGACCCCGAATTTTCCCACCTGCACGGGGTGGGGTGTAGGTGGGGCTGCTCACCTCCAGGATATACGGCAGCAGGCTGGGATCCTGCTGGATCTTGGAGCAGAGGACGGTGGCAAACTGCACCTCCTCCTTCTCCGTGCCCGAGCCCAGGCGGTCGCTGCTGAGCTGGAGCAGCTTCTGGGGAGGCAGGGAGAGGGATGTGGGAATTCTGGGGGCTCTCCCACCGCCCTCTCCACGGGCACCACTTCCCAGGGTGGGGTTTGGCAGGGTGGGAGCTCACCTGCACCGGCCTGTGCACGTTGAGGTAGTGCAGGAGCGGGTGCTGCACCTGCCCCAGCACCCGGCTGAAGAACAGCAGGACCTGCTGCCTCATCCCGGGGGGATACTGGGAATGAGATGTGGGGAGGAATTAGACAGAGCCCCGTCACCTGATTTCCCTGTAACTGACCCCAATCACCCGCTGGCTCGCCCAGGGGGGTGCCCCAAAACGATGCAGAAGGACCCACAGGACCCCTCCCCAGCAAATCCCACCCGGGCTCCCTTTAACAATTAGGGATTTAACTCAGTTCTCTGCACTGAAAAATCTGGGGGATTATTTCTCCTTTTCTCAGCCATGGGGAGTCCAACCCCAGCACCCCCAAACCCTGAATCCTCACAGTCACAGAAGAGTCAGCCCATTTTCCCCACAAAAAAGCCAAGCCCCCCCCCCCCAACCGTCTCATGCTTCACGAAGTCCCACTTCCAGTAAAAACACTCAAAAATCAAAATTACTGACAGGCACCACAACAAGGAGCTGGAAAAGACTGGGAGTGCTCCTTCCTGGTGCTGGGACACCCACCTCGGCCTTTCCCAGTGTGCCCAGTGTCTCTAGGAGCTTGTGCTGGAGCAGGTACTCGAGGCATGGCCCCGTCTCCCCCGCCGGGTGCTGCTTCTCCTCGTACACCAGGATATCCAACATCTGCTTGAGGCGCCAGGGAATGTCCGTCTGCCTGGCAGGGATGCTCTCGTCTGTGGATACAGGGATGGGGGGCTGCGGCGTGTCCCCCACCTCCGCCCCATTTTCCCAGGGCCCAGCCGAGACGCTCCCCAGCGGCTCCCCGATCCTTGCCGGCCCGGAATCCCGCTCCTCCGGGGTGGGAATGACGCTAGATGGCAATGTGAGGATGGAGAGCCAGCAGCTGCTCCTTCCGCTCCCGGCCTAGGAAGGTGCCGGACATCCCGCTGCCCGTTCTCCCGGTGGGCACTGCCAGCCCTGGAGACCCCCCGGGCACAGCGGGAAGGGCCAAGATCCCGCCGGGAATTAGGGCTGAAGCTTCTCCAGGCCCTGCTTCAGCTCTCCCGGGGAGCGGCGTGTTCCCGACGGGGACGTGTCCCAGCCTGTCCGGCGCTCCCGGGAGTGTCCGCACCCACCCAAACCCCCCCCGTGCTGACCCCGCCGGGGTGCCGGGGGTTGGGGCTGGGCAGGGCAGGGCTCCCTGCACGGAGAAATCCTGCCGGGGACCGGGAACGGGTGTCCCACGCCAAAGCCCCACGTGCCGGGTCTGCCACGGGGCGCTGGGGTCCCGTCCCAGGGCACGGGGTCCCATCCCGGGGCACAGGGGTCTGTCCCAGGACATGGGGTCATGTCCCAGGGCACAGCGACCCCCCTCCCTGGGCACATTATTCCCAGGCCACGGACCCTATTTTAGGGCACGGGGACCCTCTCCCCGGGACACGAGAACCCTGTTCCCACACCTCAGGGACTTGATTCCTACACCTCAGAGACCTCAACCCGGGGCACAGTGACCCCATATCGGGGCACAGCGACCCCATATCAGGGCACGGCGACCCTGTCCCCGCACGCCCCTCACCTGTGGCCTCCAGGTAGTAGCCGGTGATGCCCTTCCAGTGCTCGGTGAAGGCTTCCAGGAGGTCCACGCTGGGCTCCCGCTGCGCACACCGGGGCCGGGGTCAGGGGCGCACGGAACAACCCCCTCCCCGTTCCCGGTCCGGGTCCCGGTGCCGTTCCCATTCCCAGTCTCCCCTGTGTCCCCCTCACCGTCTCCACCGCCTGCTGCAGCAGCGCTCCCAGACGGCTCAGCATGGCTGGGACCCCCGGGACCACCCCCGGGACCGGCCCCGACTCCGACCCCGCTCCCGGCCCCGCCCCGGTCCCTCCCCCGGCGGCTCCGCTCCGGCTCCCGGCGGGATGGGCGGGATTGGGGCGGGATTGGGGACACCGGGAGGGGGCGGGACTGGAGGAGGGTGGGGAGAGGAGGGGTTGGAGATGTGTCATAGCCCTAGAACGGCTCCGCGGGGCAGCTGGCGGCGGGGGAGGGACTCGGGGCACCGGGATGGGGATGGACCCCAAACCCACCTTGCACTGGGATAGGGATGGACAAGGACAGCCCTTCCTGCACTGGGGTGGGAATACCCCTCAGAACACACCAGGATAAGGTCAAGCACAAGGACATTCCCCCTTCCCCAGCTCTCCCTTTCACACAGCACAACACACATTTTACAACATAATTTTTTTTAATCCTTTAAAAAAAACAAAAAAAACCAAAAGAAAAACCACCAAAGAAACCACTTTTCTCCAATGAAAACCAAACCCTGAGGAGCGCAGCTGTTGGAAAACCACCCAGGGCCCAGCCTGGATCCTGTCAGCTCCAGGGAATGGAGAATTGGATGCCCCTGAACTGTGTGTGCCTCGCCAGCTGCTCTATCCGAGGTGTATCTTTAATCATCCCTGTAAATGGGGGTCCTGGGGGGGCCGGGGCACAGTTTGTACCGGATTCACACTGGGGACAGAGCCAGCAGCTCATGAGGTTGTACCTGGGAATTCTGTACCCCAAAAACAAGGTGCTGGGACGGGTGGGAATGCAGCGGGGAGAGGCTGGAAACCCACGGAGGGACAGTCTGATCTGTATATATCTCTATATATCTGTATATAAAAAATAGATGTGCGTAGTGGTAGCGTTGATACTGGACGGATAAAAGATGAGATTCCAGGCTGAACCCAGGCTGGTCCTGCGCGATCCACGCGCAGCTGGGAGACCCCCGCTCCGGCAGGTCCATCTGCAGGCGGGCGGTCACATCGCAGACTTCATCTCCCACTCCTGCAGAGAGGCCCAGAAATGGTCAGTTTTTCCCCCCCCCCCATCTTCCCCGTGCCGTGGGATCACCCTGAGCCCTTCCCACCCCGCCTGGATGCCGGGAGTACCTTCCTCTTCTGCCTCACGTTTCCCTTCTGCACGATGACGGGCGACGGGGGCGGCTTCAGGGCGCTCCTCGCCGACGTGGTGCGTTTCAGCAGCGGCCTGAGGAATGATCCCTGGTGGGAAAACAGCGCAGAGAGGGTGAGGCCAGCCCTCCTAACCCTTCAGTGTCCCTGCATCCCGCGTCCCCCACCTCGGAGCCGGCCGAGCTGGCGGTGGCAGCGATGTGGCCCTTCAGCGACTTCCCGATGGCCAGGAGGTTCATCTCAGAGCCGGCTTTCAGCCTGCCCTTCACACGGCAGGCCCTCTCCAGCTGCCCCACCTTCTCCTCCAGCTTTGGGAAGGCTCTCTTCCCTGCAGGGACAGCGGGGGCACTGCCGAGCCCGGGCATGCCTTGACCCTGCCAGTTGCTCCGACAAGGAGCAGGCAGCCCCTGGCATCGGGGCAGAGCCCCTGCGTGACCCCCTACCAATGAGGATGTCCAGCCCATCCCGAGTCCCTTTCTTCTCAGGCAGTGTGAGGGTGTGCTGAGGGCGGGAAAGATCCCTGCTCCGGAGGCTGGGCTTCTCCTTTGCCTGCTGTGGGCTGGGAGCCCTGGCCCGGAGAGCTGGTGGGGGTGCTGGGGAGGAAAGGAAGAGGAAGGATGCTCAGGAGGATGAGAAGGGGAAGGATTCTGGGGAGGAAGGGAAGGGGAAGGATGCACGAGATTAAGGACAGAGAAATCATGGCACAACATCACATTCATGGGCACCACAGCCCCCACCCCAGCCCCTGAGATTGGGGGGGCATGGGGGAACTCCTGGAAGGAGCACCCAGCCCTTCTCACCCGCCTTTGAGGGCTGGGCACTGCCCGGGGCGTTGCTGCTGGTGCAGGTGGGCAGAGCAGACACGGGTCTCCTGCGCTGCCCTTGCACTGCCCGGTCCAAGCTCTGCTGCTGTGGGAGGAAATCCAGGAGAATCCCACGGGCAAGAGGACGGTGGGAGCCCGTCCCCCCACCCCGGGGGTGCCGTGAGCAGGTTACCAGCTGCTGCAGCCGCTCTGCGTTGGAGTAGAGGTGCTTGGGGGTCTCAGCTGGCGGGGGCTGCCCAAAGGGGTCGTCCATGTAGGTGTTGGGGGTCGGGACACGGCGCAGCATCAGCCCACTGTGAGCAGGAGAGGGGGCCTGTAAATCCCACGCCCCACAGAGGAGCAGGAGGGCTAGGGGTGGCCCTGCCTCATCCAGAAGCTCCTTACCCGGCAGCAGGGCGGCTGCTGGCATCGCCAGGCCTGGGGGGCTTGCTGTGGGGTCCGTCACCCGCCGGCTCCCCTCCTCCCCTGGCCCGCAGGGTCTTCAGCCAGGCTTCCCTCTCCTCATCCGACCGGGCCTGGCGTGGGGCAGGGGACCCAGGCTCAGCTTGTGCCCCCTTGGAGGGGCAAAGGGGCACCGCAGCAACCCCTCACCTGCAGCAGGGCGAGCTCCCGGCCCCGCTGGGCGATGCGGATGCGGAGGTTTTGGGGGGATCCTGTGGCCTCCCCGCCGGGGGAGACGTCGCAGCCGTCGAGGCGCAGGGCACAGATGGGGCGCTGGGCAGCGCCGGGCTCCGGGAACATCCGCAGGGCTCCCCGGCGCACGGCACACCACAGGCGCTGCCAGCGACCCCGCAGCCGCACCGCCAGGAACCCTGCGGGCCACCAGCCCCCCGTCACAGGTGGTGTTTGGGGGGGCAGGACCCCCCTGGCCCCCTCCCCACGCACCCCACCTCCTTTGGCATCCTCGCCGGGCCGCGGGCTGTGCCGGGAGCGATCCTCCTCCTCCTCCTCCTCCTCTTCCTCCCTGCCGAGCTGAGGACCAGCAGGCTGAGATTGGGGGTGCAGAGAGCCCCGACTCTGCGGGTTTCACCACCCCCAACACCCTGACCCCTCCCCGAGCCAACCCTTCCCCAGCAGGGCAGCCAGCACATGGAACTGGGTGTGCTCCTGGCCCTTTCCCATGCCTGGGTCTCCCTGGACAAGCTTACCCTGCTGAGCCTCGAAAAAGGGGTCGCTGGGGCGCTGAGGGCTGCCAGCCCTCCAGGGGCATCACTGCTGACCTCCTCGATCACCTGCCGATGGAAACAGCGAGCGCTGCACCCCGGGCTCCTGCTCCCTGTCTAACAGGGCTCCAACACACCTGGGATGGGAGCTGGGGGCAGACAGGACCACCCCCCAGCACCCCCCAGGGAGCACCCCAGCAGGGCCGTGGCCCCGTTCCTCCCTGCCCACCCCGCTCCTGCCCGGCTGCGACACCTCCAAACCTTCCTCCAGTCCTCAGCCTGCTGCCGGCTCTGGAAGCCGATGACCAGCACCTCTCCCGCCGTGCCCGTCACCTTCAGGGCGTGCGGCATCTTCTTGCCTCGCTTGTCCTTGTAGGTGACGCGGCAGCCCCGCAGGTCCAGCTCCAGCACCGGCTGCAGGTCGGCGGCACACCTGAAGCACTGCGGGGGGCGTGGGGTGGAGGGTCAGCAGGCCATGGAGAGCTGCTCCCACCCACCCACCCACCCACCCATCCCTCCTCCTCCTCCTCTCCCCCCAGCCCCTCACCAACAGCACGTGCTCCCGGACGATGAAGAGCTGCTTTGCCCACTGTCCCAGCCAGCGCTTCCTCCAGAGGAAGCCGCAGAGCTGGGCCTCGGGGCGCCCGGGGGGCTCGGCCTCGGGGCTGCCGCTCAGTGGCCACCTCAGGTAGTGGGCACGGTCCGTCACTCCGTCCTCGTCTTCCTCGTACGACTCGTAGTGGCTGCTGTCGCTGTCGGCACCGCCTGAGGGTCGGGGCGGTGTCAGGGGTGGGAGTGGGTACACGCTGGGGCTGGGGAAGGGGTGCGGGGGGTTCCTCACCGGAGCATGGGCTCTGGGGTTCGGCGTCTTCGTAGGGGTCGTCGGCCGGTGGGGAGGGTGAGACACCCACCGCCTTGTTCTGGGGGGAGAAGGGCTGCTCCGAAGGTGCTGCCCCCAGCGAGGGCCTCGCGGGGTCCCCGAGGCACCTGGGGGGGCGCGTGGGACCGCGGGGACCTTCCCACCCCTGTGGGAGAGAGGTTTCAGTGCAGGGATGGCCTCTGGTGCCCCTCTGCCATCCCTTGTGCTGCCCCC